TTTAGTTTTTCTAGTTAGTCAAAACTTAAGAGAGCACAGGGATTATCTGACAAAGTATAAAATGTTTGTTTCTTTTAGGCCAATTACCAAAATTAAACAAAAACCTTTTGTACTACATTACTTTTTATATTAAAAAGGGAAAAAAAAGACATGTTATAGAATCGAAATGAGTACATCATGTCATTTTATTAAGAGTAAATTAATATTTTAGCCAAAATTCTTTAATAAATTTCCTTTTATAAACTTTATCCCAACCTACACGTACATACACCATCTACAAAACATATCTTAAAACTTTCTATTCTGCCCTAACATTCCCTTTTCCTAAATAACCAGTCATTTTAGGACAAAAATTTCATACAAGATCCTTTCTTTAAATTATTCTTTCTATTTAACCTTTCTTGCCAAAAATATATTTCTATATTCATTGCCCCTTTGCATCTTTTTCTTACACACAAGTGGAATTTTGTTTTTATTTTTTTTAATTTATTTTGATTTAACCCTTAAATAACCTCTGAATTAGACAAAGTTATATTAGTTTAATAAGAACACATTTTGTTTTATAATTTTTATTACTGAAAAATCTTATTCTTTGGTACACTTTATATATAGAATTACTCACATTGACTAGAATTTTTATTTTTAGTAACTTTAAATTTTAGTGAAAGCTTAAAAAGTAGGAAGTCATGAATTGTTTATCATAAGACACTTGTCATGAAACAAGATTGTAGGTTACTATAATATTATAGCCAAATTAATAATTTAAATATATATATTTTTAAATGCCAAAATCCTATTTTTTTTTTGAGAAAGGAGACTCAGCGTCTCAAACAAGTATAAGACCTAATAGACAGACTGCAGTACAAGTTATAAGGAAGCTGAATCTGTGTCCTTTTTTTTTCCTTGCTTTTTGCAGTTTATTAAAAGGTGAATAAAAAATCTTTTGTTATTCCTATTAATATCATATGACAATCTAGTTTAAAAGAGAAAACCAAATTTTATTGTATTAGTGTATTAATTATGAAAGTTAATTTTAACAAAATCTTATAAACAAATCCACCTAATTTTAACCAATTTTACTATAAGTTAAGACTTTTTATAAACCTTTTATAACCTTTAACTTTTATATCCACTTAATTTTTAATGATCATTTACATATTGAATAAGTAGCTTTAAAAACCAATAAATTAAACAAAATAATGGACTTAAACAGAACTCTAGAACTAATGGGCCTGACTGACATTTACAGAACATTTTACCCTCAAACCACTGAATATACATTCTTCTCATCAGCTCATAGGTCATTCTCTAAGATTGACCATATCCTAGGACACAAAGCATTTCTCAAACAATTTAAAAAATAGAAATTATACCATGTCTCTTTTCAGACCGCAATGGAATAAATGTAGAAATCAACCCTAACAGGAACTCTCATTTCTACGCAAAGTCATGGAAACTAAACAACCTTCTGTTATAGTCCGAAGTGCGAGAAAAGACCACATTGGAAACCAAATTGGGACAAATTTTGAGTCTTTATTTACTGGCCAAGACTACTCCTGTCCTACAGAGTGGCAGACACAGTAGTGAGAATGGAAGTAGTAGTGAGAATGGGAAAACAGCCCCCTTTTAAAGGAAAAAAACAAAAAAACCACACACTCTAAAAATCTGATTAGCAAGCACTTTTACAGAAGTGAGAGAAAGCATCAATCTTATAATTTTATCTTGTTTTAGCACAATGTGGGGGTTGGAGCCTTTAGATGGGTTTTGTAGGAATCACCCATAGCAGTTAAGATTTCACCCAGAGGATGCCCCTAAAGTATCCTAATTTAGGGACAACATCAATCTTAGTTGCAGTACATCTTGCATCCTGTGATCTGAGCCAGAACGCATACCACTGGGTACACGAAGCATGTCAGGTGCCTCAGGGGTCCAGAGCACTTTGACCCTGGCCTACAGGCTATATTTTGTAGGCAGTTGTACCATGTACCACCACCCTTCTCCTTAGTTTCTAAACTTAATCACACTAGCAGAGTCAGGATGGCGGGTGTGGAGTCAGATAAGAGTCAACTGAAGATTTTCCACTCTCCTAAGCAAGCAAGCATAATACAGAAGCTAATGGCTGGTAATTGGCTATCTATGGGCCCTAGGCCCTAACACTTCTGCTAAATGCTCACTTTATAAACAAGGAAATCAAGATGGAAATCAAGAGATTTTTTGAACTAAATGACAAAGGGGACACAAGTTATCAAAACCTGTGGGACCAGCTCGCAGTCCTGAGAGGAAAGTTATATCCATACAATGCTACTAACAAAATATATTATTTTACAAACTAATACTTATGTTGTATAACATTTTATTAAAAGAATTTTTTTTTTTTTTTTTGAGACAGAGTCTCGCTTTGTTGCCTAGGCTAGAGTGAGTGCCATGCGTCAGCCTAGCTCACAGCAACCTCAAACTCCTGGCTCAAGCGATCCTACTGCTCAGCCTCGCAAGTAGCGGACTACAGCATTCGCCACCATGCCGCTAATTTTTTTATATATATTAGTTGGCCAATTAGTTTCTTTCTATTTATAGTAGAGACGGGGTCTCGCTCTTGCTCAGGCTGGTTTCGAACTCCCGACCTCGAGCAATCCACTCGCCTCAGCCTCCCAGAGAGCTAGGATTACAGGCGTGAGCCACCGCGCCCGGCTAAAAGAATTTTTGTATAGAGTTGTTTCCCTGTTATCTAGAAGTTTTAATTTTACGTACTAATCATAATGTCAACTCTTAGAAAAACCTAGGAAGTTAAAGTAACTTTGAACTGTTAGTCACCAATTTTATTAGTCTTCCTAAATATAAAGCTATCAAGGTATAAGCTTAAACTTATATTTAAGAACTGATGTTCTAGTATTTTACCTTATAAATGACCCATTTATAAGGGACATATAATGACAATTTATGATTTTTTTTTAACTTAACATAATGACTTTAAGATTTTAAATTCCATGAAAACTTTATTTGTATTTATTGCATATGTATTTACCTAATTTATCTGTATTAGCAGTTCACTTAGATCTTAGCTATTAAAAGTTTGTTACTTTTTTATTAAATATTTTTATACCCTGTATAATTGGATATATATAACACAGAACAGGGATCAAAATACAAACTCATAAATCTTACCAAGAAAAAAATAAATAAGTATTTTAATAAGAAATTATTTTAAACAAATATAACATCACTTCGAAATTTTATAAACATGGTAGTCATTTTGGAATATCTTGTTTAAAGGTATTAGCTAATTAGATCCTTTTAAAACATCACATCCCCAAACAAATCTATTGGCATTATAGGGCTTAAAGTGTCTCTGGCCCCCAAAGTTTGGGATCAAAGGCCACTGTTCTCATAAAGGCTTTATGAAAATCTACTGACATTGAGATTAATAGAAGACTTAAAACGTATACATAGACGCCTTTAGAATGAACACAAAGATGCAGGGGAAATTGTCCATTTTTTTGTTTAAAGTATGGACAACGGTGTAGAAATATGATTGGGCAAAAAAGGGTGTGAGCTAATTTTAACAGGCTTAGTGGAAGAACCAGCAAGGCATTTTATATTTAGATTCTGCTTGGCCTCTTGAGTGTGCATCTTTTCTTTCTCGGTGTAGGACAAAGCCCTTTCTGGCATGGGGTTTTACAGTAAAACAAAGTAAAAACAAAGTAGGTCAGATAATTGCTTTATGGCCATTTTACATAAAATAATTTTAGGTTTTATGGCTAGCTTCAGGGAAGAATTGGCACAAGAGGCGGGCAAAGTCAGAAAATTTTGCTTTTGAAGCCTTTATTTTAGGTTATTATTATTTTTTATCCCATCAACATAAGATCACCTGGCTGTAGACTGAGGGAAGAAAAAACTTTCAGCACCAATTGTTAGCACCTCAAACAATGATACAAAGTGGTAACATGCTTTTTACATGAGGATCAAGATTAAACTGTTTTTTTTTTTTTAAAAAAAAACAATCTAGTGTCAAAATAATTTTTTAGTGTATAAACTTGAGCACATTTATAGAGTAAGACTGCTTTGAGATTCTCATGGATTTTAACCATCATTCGCTTTTTATCTTAAAATAAATTACAAAAATTAATAATTTAGAAATTTTTTCTAGGCAAAAACTCTGTTACAGTAACATAATGTACACATAACCAGCTAGCTTGTAAAGAGCAGGACAAAAATGGACAAGACCAAGGTAAAACTAAAGCTTTTAAGTTCCTTACAACTTTTAGGACAACTTTGAATCCCTAACAGTTCTGTTGATATTAGATGATAGTGAGTTAAACACACCTTGTGTACCTCTCTACAGGCATTGAATCAGTGGAAGTAAACTATATCTGCAGTTAGGATTAAAAGACCAAAACCAAAATGTTTTTTATAAACCTTTGACGATTAAATTTGGGTTTTTGCTCTACTTGGTGTTTTATTTATTCTAATTTGCTGACACTTAGGCACATTTGCATTTTTACCTTAAAGTTAAGCGCATAAGTATTTTTGTTGGTAACCCAGATTTAGTTATTATCATTTGAACAAATATTAAATTTATTTTACTTATCAAAAATCACACATTACTTTGTCTTTGGCTGAGTTTACATTTTATAACCTTTATATCAAATCTTTACACCTCAAGAACTTTAAAATGTCCAGTAAAACCCAGGTAAAAACAATGTATGCTGACAATTTGAAAGCATTTTTACTATTACTTTACTAATAACACCTTTTTATTTTCTTAATAATAACACAGCTTAAGTACCAAAGATTACTAAATTCATATGAAGCATTTGGGTTTAATTTATGAGCACTCCCTTAATTTTAAACCAGTCAGAAACCATATAAGCACAAATGTGTAATACATGGACAGACATAAAACATACCCAAACATATACACTCTCTAACACACATACACGCACACAAAGTTCTAATAAATTTTACCCTAGAACTTTAGCCATGAAATGGTAACGCAAACTCACCAGTCTGTAAAAGAAAGCTGGATCTAAATTTCTTCTGATGAGACTGGAACTTGTTTACATGGCAAACTTTAGTTGACCTGATAGGTAACTTAATTAGGCCTGTGGATCAAAGTTTTGGGTAAAGCAGTTTCCATGGCAGTTTGATTTTTTTAAAAACCTTTACCCCCCCCCCCTTTTTTTCCAGTTAAAAGTGAGTTTTCAATGTTAGCATTTTAGCTAGAACTGGCTGCAGGGTCTCCAGGTAGCCTTTCAATTGTAAATACCATAAACAATGAGTTATCTTAAGATCAACAGAAAAAGTTCGGTTTTAGAGTAGCCAGAAAAGAAGAGAGAGAGATAGCTTGAGACATTTTAATAGTGGGGGTGGACCATTTCAGCTCTGAATTTTTTTTTGACGTTATTTTGCCCTTTCTTAAAAACTTGTGCACAAGAATTAGCTATAACCAGCTGGAGCCCTAGAAAACCTGGAATGCCTTTGAATCTTTTCATTAACAAAAAATACTTGCAAGTAGAGGCACCGTAAATCAACTGGGGTGCCCAACAGTCATTCTATTTGTTTTTCCTCCTTTTTAAAGGATTTTCTATTTTTCTTAGAGAAAAGCCAATTGAGATTAATTTTAGGATAAAAAGACAATGGAGAAGACCTTTTAGAATGCACCTCTAAACCTAAATTAGGATCCCAAACAACAATTCCTAGGAAAAGAACCAGCTCAGAATAAACCAAGACCATCAACCAAAAAGGGAGGTCCAGTCCGGCCAAAGGAGAAGCTCAGAGTCGGAGGCCTAAAAGGGCCATGCCATGCCGGTACCTGGCGCCGAGTTTGCACTGCTCCTTAGGCGGTCCTGAATCTTCTCCGAGGTCCTGCCGACTACGCCAAAATTGTCAATGGAAAAAAGCCAAACTCTGCAAAATAATTTTAAAGAGATTTATTCTGAGCCAAATTTGAGGACCATGACCCAGAGCCACTGCCAAGAGGCCTTGGGCAAGTGGACTCATCGTGACTGGGTTACAGTTTGGTTTTTACACATTTTAGAGACAAGGGTTCTGGGTAAAGCTCATCAATCAATACGTGGGAGGCACACATTGGTTTGGCCCCAAAAGGAGGGCCATCTCGAAGGGGGGGGGGCTTACAGGTTATAAGTGGGTTTAAAGATCCTTCAGATTGTAATTGGCTAAAGACATGAAGCTTTGTCTAAAGGCTTGGGATGTTTTAACATAAACTGTTTACCAGAGATAAGCCACCATTTGTTGCATAAATTGAGGACCTGCAGGTGTGTCTTGCATACCCTTAGGCCTGTTAATGGGTTACAAAGGAAGTCTTCAAGAAGGGAGGGGGGCATGATAAGGCATGTCTGACCTCCTCCAGGTAGGCAACTTTGCCCTAGAATATTCCTTTGGCCACAAGGGGGTCCATTCAGTGGAGGGGGGAGGGGGTTGAGCATTTTAGTTCACAATGTTTTAGGGTGGTTTGTCCTAAACCCCAACATTCTCTAGTCTTAAACGTTCCCAAGAAGCCTTACAGTCCAGAAACTGAGTTGGTAGATTGTCTAATATCCCACTAAGGAGGCATTTGTATGGCAACAAAAGAAAAACATAAGTTAATAATTGAAGCAGAGCATAAGCCAAATCTCTGAGTCCAGAGAGCAACCAGATGAGATTCTAGATTGTGGGTGAGAAGCATCCTTTGCATTTCGAATGTCTCTGGTGATGTCTGAGTGGACCACAGGGCAATAAGCACAGGGTCATTCATACACGAGATGTCATGGTGACTTCTCCAATATTCACATCAAGTCATCCAGCTTCAGCTTGCAGGGCTTTGGGAAAAGGGCAGTTTTTGTTCTTAGTGATTCCAAGTCAGAAAGGTGGGAGAAAATGTGAAAAGTTAACTTGGAGAGTCACAGCCAGATACTGGAGGAATTCAGATCCAGTCCAGTTTACAGGTAGATACAAATCTCAAAGAACATGAAGAAGGCTAGAATAGGCACATTACAGTTTTCTACTGAAACATAATTTTTCTTTATCCAGTAACCCCCAATTTTACCAAAGATAATCATGGTAGGATTGTTTGCAAAATAACTTTAGTTCATTAAACATGACCTGATTATTTACATAAGTACAGCAAGAATAGTGATTGATCATATAGGCTTTTTTACATCTGCTTTGCTAGAACTTTTTATAAGGAATCTAAGATTGGACTTTTAAAAGCCTATCAATTAAGGCTAAGATGCCAAGCTAAGGACTCACCATCAAACTCTTCCTGTAATACCTGTAGATTTGGGTGACTTCCTCTCTTCTTTAGGTCCCCAAAATATCTTGAGGGTCCTGGGCCTGCCAGGAAGTGACATTCCTTATCCACCTGTAAGGCAACGTGAACTATGTATCCAAGGTACCAAGTTAGTTATTTTGTTTTTCCAGGGGCTTTATTGACTCCATAAAGTCAACCTTAGTTCCTTAATATTGTCTAGTCATATCAAAAAATATGACATTCCAGTCAAAGCCTTGCTAATATAATCAGTGTTTCAACTGTGTCCCGTTATAAGAACAGATTCTTATTGAACTTACACAAATAACTACATTTCTATTAAAAAATAAGAATACTCCCAAATAGTGTTCAAATCCTGGAGGAATCATGTAAGTAGAAAAAGTAAATGTTTCAATTTTTGCTCAAAAAAGTATATTTTACCAAATTGCTATAAGCTAAAAAATAGCTTAAATTTTCTTTTTAAAAAACATTTCCTTACATCTGGAAAACAAAACATTTGAAGAACCAGTGATATTTCAAACAAAAGGTCATTTAAAAATTATCCTCATAGGTTCATTCAGTCCCATATAATTAATTCAGGTTCTACTTGATGTTGAGTTAGCAGCTTCATCAACCATCAGTTTCTTCATCAGAGTTCTGGAAATTCTTACCCAGACCAATGGTATGATCTTAAAATTGTGAGAAACCTGTGTTCCAGAGCACTTGTCAGTGTCTTTTTCATGAATCTCCTTAAAGAAGCAATTTTACACTGTGGCTGGTTACAAATGCTTTTACAGAAGAATTAAAGTACCATCTATCTAATAACTATCTGGATGACAAAGTCTTTTCGGCCATGGTTAAAGATCTGATGAGAGTTTATTTTAATAGTGATGCAACTGACAAGGAAACTTTAAAAATAATAACTAGAATTATGACTGATTTATCAGAACTTAGCAGATTTCTAGGAATTTCATACAATTTCTGGAACCCACATTAATGACATATCCATATAACTCAAAGGTTAAACATTATTTCATCCTTGACAATGCTTTCAATGGAAATGCAACATATGCAATAAACCTAGGTAGTTTAACATCTATCTTTTTATAAGAAGAGAGAATAATTTTCTTTTGAGAAATTCTAGGGGCCCATCTGGAAAATCTCAAGGTTAATTCAAAATCAAAAAGATTTAACTTAGAATTTGACTTTGGAAACTTTGCCAACATCAGAGCTAATTATGAATTAAAACCAAAGTGACCAAAGAATTTCCAAGGCAAATATAAAAAGTTACATGGTTGTAAAAAACCTTAACTCTTCAAAAATTTTTTTTTGCAGAAACAGTGTCTTGCTATGTTGCCCAGGCTGGTCTGGAACTCCTTGCCCCAAGTGATCCTCCCACCTCAGCCTCCCAAACCTCTGGGATTACAGGTGTGAAGCACCACACCTAGCCAAACTTTAACTCTTTTAATATTAAGAAGATTCAGTTATCTGAAGTAATCAAAGACCTAATAATGAAAACATGAAGCACAGGAAATTATTTTGATAAAACACCAAATTTTTTTAAGGCATCACACTCTAAAGGAAAAAAGAACCTTTCCCTACCTCTTATCAATACTACAAGAAAATCTTGTTTTTACAAGGGAAGACCAAATTCTAGTTACATTAGTGTACTTTTTATATTAAGGCTCATTTTAAAAACCTTATAATAAATTTATTCAATTTTAATCAGTTTGACCACACAAGATATCTCTCTCATTCTTTCTTCCCAACCTCATATCTATTCAGCTTTTGTCCATCCTTCATTCATTCTGAAACACCTTGAAACGACCTCTAAACTAGACAAGTTAACCTTTCCCCTTCAACAAAAAAATTCATCCTCATACCTTGTAACAACTTACTTTCCTTGTACACTTTGCATACGGAGTTGTTTTCCTTATTAGTTCTAGTAGTTTTAATTACATACTAGAATTTTAAGTTTTAGTAATGCTAATTTCTAGTGAAAACCTATGAAGTAAGCAATTTTGAACTATCATATATCAACATGTTATGAATACACATTTCATAATATTTAGAAATATATCCTTCCTCACAGAACAATTTTTCAATGTGGAACAAAACATTTTTATTAACAGACCCAAATATATTTTGTCTTCCTATTAAATTTAAGAAGCCAAAAGTAAATAAACTTATGTTCGGCAATTAACATTTCAATATTGTATCTTATTTGGAAATGACCTAGACTGTCAATGAATATCTACTATCTAAGGGTGTAGTTACCAAAGAGATTGGGAAACCTTTTTAAGCAGGCATACTGTAAAACAAAATTATTGATTAAAAGTTCAGTTATAAACTTTTATCCCACTTACATCTATTTAATGCACTTCTTTGTAACAGTTATGCTTGGATTACCCTTGAAAATTAAATAAAACATTAGACAAGACTAGCCTTCATCTCAGGTAAACTCTATTAGCTATTTTACAGCACCTTCATGTTAGAGTCACAAAAACAAGAATGCAAAAGCTCGTGTGTTCAGTGTTGCTTTGGTCTGCTGTGCTGATGCACACAGCACCGGACACTGCGATTCCACCTGCACAGCTCCTCTCACGCCAAAACCACAGCTTTATGATCTCAAGCATCTGACAGGCAAAAGTTGTTTGCCCGGATTATAGTAAATGCTGACAACTCTGAAGACAGGCTTGTTTTAATTAAACTAATAATGTTCTTATTTACCAAATTTTACCAAAGTCACATGAACTTGAAAAGCATTTGGATTAAGCTTCTATTTTTCTGAGTGAAAAATTTTTATAGGTGCTTATTTTTTAATAAGCCAACTAAATAGAGCTCATCCAGAGGCATAAAAGTATCCCATTACACAACATACATGCATATATAGACATGCATGATCACATTATACAACATATATGCATATATAGACACACATGAACATAAGACAAGGCAGATTTTACAGCGTTAACTCTAAACTTTATGATTATTATTACCTTTTTTTTTTTCCTGAAGACAGAGTCTCGCTCTGTTGCCTGGGCTAGAGTGCCATGGCGTCAGCCCAGCTCATAGCAACCTCAAACTCCTGGGCTCGAGCAATCCTTCTGCCTCAGCCTCCTGAGTACCTGGGACTACAGGGCATGCACCACCATGCCTGGCTAATTTTCTGTATATATTTTTAGTTGGCCAATTAATTTGTTTCCATTTTTAGTAGAGATGGGGTCTCAGTCTTGCTCAGACTGGTCTCAAACTCCTGAGCTCAAACCATCCACCCTTGGCCTCCCAGAGTGCTAGGATTACAGGCGTGAGTCACTGCACCCGGCCGACTCTATAAACATGTGCCAGATACAATAATTCAGAACTCACTTATAAAAGAATAGCTAGATCTGACATAAGGGACATGTTCAGGCGCTCTGCTCAGATGGCTAAAGCTTTCTATTTAAGATTTTTCATTTGCCTATTTCCAAATGGTTTCTTTTTTTTTTTTTTCTCTGAGAATTATCTCCCTGAAGTGTGCATTTCAAAAGGGATGGCTCTTGGAAAATAAAAGGTAGAAAATTTGTATCTCAGAAACACAGAATGAATGCAATTTTCACCAGGAAGGAGTTTTGGGGGGCATATTTGCCTATCATCAGAGGTCTAAGATAGTTACTGTTTAAACTTTTCCTTCTTTTTCTTAGGGTTGTGACAGTTTCCTTTCCAATGCCCTGATTTTTCAAAGTATCTGTGAGCAACTTGAGATGAATAAGTGAGGTTTGGGAGTTGGTAAAAAAAAAAAAGCCTAGGTGGGCTCTGAGTTGCTTCTAGAAGTACATTCCTAGCTTTGTAAAGAAAGACTCAATTTGTGAGACAAGGACAATTGTTTTTAATTCCCCTAAGAATTGGGGTGCAGCTTGAATATCAGGGGTTGGCCATCCATTCACCTCATTATCTTCAATGTTCTCCCTTCTATCAGTGAGTAGATTTCCAACTAAGATGGAAATCAAAAGATTCCTCTGTTCTAGATTTAGAAAAGCCATGTGTCTTTGAAATGTTTTAGCAAACCATTTTCTTTCTGAGCACACACTTCCGTTCCAGCTTAGGAGAGAAGGCCTGAAGGAAAAGTCCCTAGCATGCTCTGAATACAAGCCAAGTCCTAAACCAAAGATACACCTAACAAGCGACTCACAACCAAACTAATGAGCCTTTCTGGCTGAACCACGGACCCATGAGGCATCTCCAAAGAGAGAGCAAAACGACACAGCCATTCCACGTCCAGAGCTGCTCTCAACCACAGGCAAGGAGAAAGATGCAGACCACACCCCTGGAGCTGGTGACAGTGGATATACTAGCTACACGTGGGGACACATTCTTGGGGGCTTCTGACCTTTCGGCTGGCTGCTTGCACACGCAGACCCCATAACCCAGCTGCTGGTAACAGTTGAGCCAAGTTCTCGGTGGGGGGTGTGGGGAACTGAGACAAACAGGAAGGCAGGAGCTGTCCACGGGAGGGAAAGGATCATAACCAGTGGGTACCCCAAAACCAAGAGTCATAATTCTAACTAATTCTTATGTGTGTTTCTCTCCTGAGCTGAAGGAATTTACTGAGAAAATGGAGCAGATGTGGAGGATGGGAGTTTTAAATCAAATGCCCTGAGTGCCAAGAGATTTTCTGGAAGGTCAGGGTCAGGGAGCTGGGGTGTAAGAGGACAGAGAAGAGGAAGCCATGGTGAGTTTCAAGGACTTTAACTTTGCTCTAAATCTGATTTGTGCTTTCAGTCTCACAAAATGAACCCCCAGGCTAACTGCTGTACCCTTCATGTCTTCTTTTCAATTTGCTCTTCCCATGGGAATCAACAAGAAAGCTGTTTCAGATGAGAGCACTCTAAAAGTTTTTCCAAATATAGCCAATTTATTTATTCCAGAAGTGACTCAAACCAGTAAGTCTTTTCACAAAAGACCCAGAGGTAACTTATGTTCCAGGTTTAGAAAGTGAGTGCGGAAGATGTAGCCCCGAGGATCCAGAGTTCACCCCTGATTCAGAACAAGAAAGCAAAGACCTTCGTTGCCATGTGGGAACATTGTGAAAACAGCGTCTCCAGTTTCCCATGGACATGTGGGTGCCTCCGGTC